ATGATTCCGCCCCCGCTCGCGTTAACTTTCAAACGGTCTGGCGCACGATAAAGCGTCATTATAAGCGATTACGCAAGCTTTACGGAGCCTTACTTAGGTTTCTTCTAGTGGCACTGGAAAGTCGCTTCAGTCCATGCACACCTGACTCTCTCACACCCCTTCCTTCGAAATATCGCAACTCGGAATTTCAGTGACGTTTCCTTGTTCTTCGCGGCTCCGCGACAGTCTCTTATCCCCGGGCGCTTTCGTTCTTTTATTTGGACAATGTACGTAAGGGTCGTAAGGGCCGGGGAAATTGTTGCTCGAACTGTCGTAGTTATCGCAGTAGAGAATATCGAACTTGCGGAATTGTAGCGCTACCCCATTGTGCGTCAGGGCCCAATGGTTTTACGTTGGGAACTTGCCTGACGCGCGCCCATATTTTCGCAACAATTCCGTTGAATCAATTGATTGGGTATCCCATCCATAATTTATTGTTTAAGCAGTTATTTTTTATAATAATAAATCCAGCGGTATTATAGTCTATATAATTAATGTATGAGAATATTATCCATAAATTAATTTTTCCCATAATCGTTATTTCGACAAAAGCAAAAAAGAAAGGTAAATAGAAGAGAAAACGGTAAACGGTAATCGGATATATTTATCTACCAAAAGATTTTTACGTTAATTTATGCACTTTAGTATGTGTTACGTAATACATTAGCAATAGTAAACACATTTATCGTTACATAATCATCTGCTGGGATATAGAATTGTATTTAAAACGCTGAATTAATATTAATTGCACGCAACCCGGTTACTTAATCCATAGCAAATTATCACGTTAATTACACTCAATATAAATATAATAATCAATGAAATTATTTTCCAGCATATAATTAAATACTGCCTTATGAATGATGTAATCTTTGCCAATATATTACTTTCTCCGATCGACGAAAAATTACAAATGACTACAAAATAATATTGCATTATATGCACAATCTGTTTACATTGCATTACAATGTCATGAATAATGCATAAAACTTTTTTTTGAAACGATCTAATACAAAATTTATAAATTTCCATAAAATGTAATGGAAGGCAAAACAATTATGCCACCAGGGATATTTTGACATATAAACATTCGACAAAGCAAATAGATAATTAATATTATTTAATAAACATATATAAATGAGCGAAATATTTAATAAAAATTTTATCTTTATTCAAGAATTTTACGTTCATTTTTTTTTTTTTTTTATTTCCGTTACTATTCGATACCTACTTTAATTACAACATTATAAAATGTAATTTAGTATTATAATGTATGATTGTATCATTAATACAATGCAATGAGATAGTAGAAGAAATTGAAATTTTAAATTTTCATATTTTTATTTAGACTTTGATACAGGAATATTATAATACCATTTCATGTAAAATATACTATTTAGGTTAAACAAAAATAGCATTAATAAGTATTGGTTATTGTAAATACTCTTGATCGCTATATTGCAAAGTCACATATTCAGAAATATAAAAAACATTTCGTATACTCGTGTATCGCAAAAATTTCTATATAATTTCGTTCCCTCGATAAATGAAGAATTTTTATAAAGATTTCTTACTTACTAATGAAATATTTCTAAGGAATATTAGAAAATCGAGAAAGAAAATGTACATAATCTACTATGTCATTGTTCTAATTTACTTTACACGGGCTTACTTGTAAATTATTATTACTTATTACTTACACTTTGTTAAGTAATAAAGTAATAAATAAGTAATCTATATTGAATTATTCAAATGAATAATTCAATGCCATTGAATGTTAATGTGATTTGATATATTTTCTAATCATCGCGTATTTAATTTGTCAGATTCGTTAAAATACACGCATACACACGCGTATATAATAATTATGTAAATCATCGTAATTTTAACAGTTTTTTTTGCACATATAAAATTTAGGAAAGACAATTAATTTCATGACATAGCACATATCAATGTTCAATTTAATCATATGTACGATCATCGCAGTAAATGATTGGTTGTTTTTTTTTTCTTTTTAATTTTGTCAAAGTAATGCCTGCCCTTGGGATAATTGAGTTTCATGACATAAGAAGAATAAAACAAATTATGTTTATTGATAATCGTATCCGAATAAATGTGACTATTAATATTGTCGATATGGAGGATATTTGTGGAATAGAACTATTGATATTTCCAAATTGGAAAATTCGATAAGCATTTTTGTATGAAAATGTAATAGAATTGTTGGATCATTAACGATACAATCGTTAGTAAATTTATATTGATGTACGGTGTTAGACGATAAGTTTTTAATGAAAGCGGTATTTTTGATATTTTCGTTTTAACAAAAGTGTCATAGTCTGCAGATTTATAAATAGAGACATTTTATAGATAAATTAACATTCTATTTCACCTAATCATAGAATTTTTAAACGGATAATCATTATTGTTTGTTCATTCGTTTAGTCAAGCTTTCGTTAGCCCCCATATATTACGACGTTATTATTATAACAATTATTTATTTAAATCTATATTTAATTTAAATACACAACACGCTTATTATTATATCATATTTATTATAATATTTCATTTAAATTGGTATGGAGAGTCATTACAACCGCAAAGGACTACAAATAACTGCGGAATCACTTCGTTCATCAGTGATTATTATTTATACATGAACACCGGCACCTTCGCAAGCATAACTTTTATTTAACTTGGGGACGAAAGTCCAACGCTCGTAATTAAAGGAGCTTGCGATAAGAGGCCGCGTTCAATTATCAATAATTGTCCAACAAGATGGGGAGAGACGGTACTTCAGTCCCTGCATAACCGAGCTCTTGCATTTTCGTTAAGGCGTTATCCGAAAATATACATTGGAATGGCCATGGGCGTGAAAGATCCTCGGGCGATATCGGATCGGGGTTGCTCAACCATGACGTGGGTCACCCCGTCCTCTTGCTCGCGATGCAGCACGAATGTGCAATCGGCCCGTCATCCATCCGGAAATCGGAAATGAAACGGATAGTTCCAGGAGCGGCGACGCGAGACACTAGTCGAGCTTGCACGGTAGAGAAACAAAAAAAAGGTCGTGGGGTGGAGGGCAAACACGAGGGCGATAGGCAACAACGCCGGCGGCACTTGATAAAGGCTGATCCCGATCCGAATGTGACCCCGTTTAGCCACGGATGCCGCGGGAGGCGAAAGGTCCCGAATTCCTGTCCCCCGGCTCGCATATCGCATTCGTCCTGGAAATATGCGCGTTCGCTCGTCCCAACATTTCCCGAGATCCGACGGGGAAAAACATCGAGGCTGCGTCACGCTTATGACCATCGACCTTGGTCCGTCTCGCGATAAGAGATAATATTCAAGGGAATTTTGGCGCGTTCGGTGTCCGTGAGAGTGTGGGAGAGTGATCGGATCAGAGGAAGGATCTGTAGCGAGTGAGGTTCTCCTAGCGAGAATCCTAGCGAGAATCCTAGCGAGAATCCTAGCGTGAATCCTAGCGAGAATCCTGGCGAGAATCCTGCCCGTCGAGTACCGGCGAGACCATTACTAAATCACGAAAATTTGTTCATCACGATCGAAGAGGTATTTATAATTACTTGCCGAGGGATGTAATGTTTACATGGGGAATTGGGCTGTTGGAAGAAAGATAATAAACGAAATAAAAGCCAACGATTTCCAATAGCGGAAGCTTTCGATGTCGAAAGTTACGAGGATACGCGAAGATTTAATGCCTGGACACGAATCAGCTTTAACGAATTTGGAAATGGAATTTTTCAAAGTGCTCCTAATAAATAATGTTACAGGGCAAGACTTTTTAAACGCTATCGTCGCTTATATAATTGTGCCAATAAATTGTCAATTTTAATCGTGGATAAAAGTGATTAGTATTATCGATGAAAAGAAATGGCCAGAAAGTCAAATGGATTTGGAATGAGATTTTATTTTTTACGTGTTATATTTTTACCAAATATTAATGCCAATATTTATATACATTTTTGTTTCATTTTAGCCAGCTGCGATCCAATGATAAGACATTTTCTCAAGGAAGTTGCGAGTTTCTTAGGTCTAGGCTGTGCGGTGAATCAAATTCAACTCGTATAAATAATTTTGACTCGTTTGAATATGAGCCAACATTATCAAGATCTAATTATATATATATATATATCTATATATATATATATATATATATATATATTTTTTTTTTTTTTTTTTTTTTTTTTTTTTTATGAATATACAATAGACGATATTAATTAATATGGAGACCCTTTGCTCACTTAATATTCGAAGACGTTTTGTCATTAATTGTCCGTAATTGAAAGTGATAGAGATTATTTCTAAATTTTTGTATCTTGCAAATTTAAGGAGCAATGGAAATTATCCAAAAAACTAAAAATTCAATTGAATTTTGTTGTTGCGGCTTAGCGCGCATTGGATTACAGTCAAATACGTGAATCTTAATGACAATGGCATGATTAAGTAAGGAGAGTAAATGTCGACACGTAAGGTGAAATGTGCATGTAGTTTAAAAAAATGGAAATAATGTTCCAATAATCCCTCGCAACCCAATAACGCTCGGCCAAAATTAATCGTAGTTGAAATAGTCAATCGAACAATACGAACACTCGTAAACGCAAATAATACACAAATCCTAGTTTAGCGAACGTTCAATCTTGGAAAATATGCTCTCACCCATCTACATTAGCAAAATTTTCATTCGACATTGACGAGCCATTCCACTCACAGCACAACCATCGGTCTTAGAAGAAGACCATCATTATCATACAATACACACAAAACTATGCCCAGTTCTAATTAATAATTCCATATAAAAATCCCGGTTATATCGATCGTCCGAAATAGCCGGGGGAATGTGCGCGTGAACAAAACAATCCAAGTTAACAAAGAATTTTAGTGGATTTTCAGGCTATTGGATTAAGAGGACGAAAATGCTAGTTTGGCCATTACTGTTTCAGATGTCCACGTATCGGCTGAGCAGTTTGGCGACTCTTGCCCTCCTGGGTCTGATCGTCGGGCAATTAGCGATCGCCCAATCGGACATCTATCAATATGAGGAGAAGCGCCAGGGCGCCTCGAAATACTGCGGCAAGCATCTCTCCAACATGCTACAGCTCGTTTGCCATGGCCTTTACAACTCGATGTTTAAGAAGAGCGGCCAAGGTTCGTGTCAAGTTCATTTAACGTTGCTTCTCTAGTTGCCAACTTGTGTGTACGTGGGCAGTCGCGCGGATGCCACGACAGTTGCGGCCAAACACCACTGTTTTTCTTTATGCGCAGCCGAACCTGCAAATGTAACTTGGTTGAACGCGCACAAATTGCGCCGCCACTCGTACGAGAGCGTCGGCGAGTGTTTCGATAAAAAAAAAAAACGCAAAAGACAAAGAGAGAGAGAGAGAGAGAGAGAGAGAGAAAATCCGAGTACTCGACGTTGCTTTTGTTGCTCGCGAGAAAGGCGAACTTTTTCCTGGCGCGCTCTAAAAATAGAATTTCATTATGAAAAATAGCGCGTCGCTATTTTCTCAAGACTCTGCCCGGGAAATAGTTTTGCAACTGAATTATGTCATTTTCATGCACGAACTGAAATCATTGCAACTAACTACGGTGGGCATTATTTCTCTGCTATTCTGTAAATTATTATGGAAATCAGCTAAAAAAGGACAAAATAATTCATACACTGAAAGAGTAATATTCAATCAACTGGGCCCAACTGGATGATGATTCCTTCTTTTCTTTCTCAAGCATATTCTTTCTCTTTCTTTTCTTCGTTTTTTTCTTTCTTTCTTTTTAATTTTTAAAATTTTTTTTTATACATATCTAATTAAAGCCTTCGTATTCGCTTTCACTATTCTTTTCTCATTTAATTAAAGCACCTTAAACATTCTTTTCACCAATTTCATTTGTATTAAAGAAGAGGATAAATGCATTGTTTGTATTACTTGCATGAATTTATAGTGACACACACATATGTGTGTGCGCGCGCGCGCGCTTGTGTGTGGGTGTGTCCCTGTGTGTGTGCGAGTTTATAAATATATGTATATATGTATATACATACGCAGAGATGCACGAGAGCAAGAATTTATAAAATTCGTATGTAATTATAAAGTATTAAAAAATATGAAAGAATATCATAAAGTATTTCAAGTTTCAACATTTTTTTCATCTTTTGTTCTTTTTTGTGTTATTCATATCAAGTAAAATTTTCAATATTGTAATTGCTTCATATTTTATTATAATGCATAATCATAATCTCTCTCTCTCTCTCTCTCTCTCTCTCTCTCTCTCTCTCTCTCATTTATCGATTATATCTTGTATTCTATTTATCTTTTATATTATTATATTACTTTACAAGCAAATTTTTCTATACGTATACGTAATATGAATTAGCCATTTCTTAAATAATATTGACAAGTGATTTTTTTCCTATTCTATGTATATACTATAGTCATGAAATTAATCTAAATACATTTATTATAATGTCTGCACGAGCGATGATAAATATTACGTGGTTTAATAGAACATTATTACTAATATTTCAACTCTTATTAATATCTGTAAAATTGTTATTAAATAGTAATGTTTCGGTGGATTTCTAATTATTCTTAATTAAAGAGCTCAGAACATATTTTATTAAATTTTATAAACCTCTATTATTTAGTGAATTTCTTACAATTATTTTATAATTAGTAAAAAATAAATTAAAACAGCTTGGCAACAAAAATATTTAATTAAAACTTTTAACATCGTATGTCATACTTTTATTTTCGTATAAGAATAAATATAAACATCTTTGTATACATTCAATTTAGCTGAGATTTTGCGTAAGATGATTGGTTCGAAGTTAAAAAAAAAAATAAATAAATAAATAAATAAATAAATAAAAATCGAAACTCTGCATTATAATTAAATACAAATATTATTAGTATCAAATACAAAGACGTTTTAATAATTTAAATATTTTTGTTTTTAGGTTGATTTTAATGTTTTTCGTATTTAATGAAGGCACAATAATATAGGAAAATTTTGTTTATTGATAATGTAATGAACTGTAAAAATGAATTGAATGTTCCAGTAATTTTAAATGCCTATGAATTTTAGTATTAACAGGCAATTTTTCATTGCACTTATAACTCTATCGCCAAACCATACGCCAATTATTCAAACTGTACTGATAGCTAATCTTGATACATTTAATTTATTAACAAACAAAGTTAAAAATTATTCAGAATTAAAATTTCATTATTAAGCATATTTTAATACTAAAACTCAAATAATAAATGTCTTCGTGTTAAACATTTTAAGCAATTCAATTCTTATGAAGATATTTTGAAACGTATATGATGACGGATTGTATGAAGATTGTTCCCTTTAAATGAAAATTAATTGATTATAGATGATTAAATATAAATATCGAGTATAAATAAGTGATAAATATAATTCTTAATAACAAGTCCTTTTCAATTTACTGAAATAATGTTAAAGTTAGAAATTTTCTACTTCGAATTTCATTTTTTGTTTCATTTACAAAGAACAATTATTTGTAGAATTCTTTTTCTTATGGTAATGATGTTATTTAATAGATTAATTAGTTCAGAGAAGATTGAGAATTGAGAACTATTTTTCTTCTATTGTAAAATTAAAATCGATAATTATGATGTATCATCATAAATATTATACAAACATATATTAGCACACCTAATAATTGCAAGTAATTAATATTAATAATAATAATATATATATATATATATATATATATATATATATATATAAACAATGATATACATATTTATACAACAATAGTATAAATAAAATACTTTGATATGCTGATAATAGTAATTGATTTTTATAAACGAACGACATTTAATAATAATAACATAATTTTATTTAAAATAAAAACATAGAAGTTTCAAAGAATATAAAATATCGATTATATATTACGTTTGAATAATAATTAATATGAACGATTCTAACAAATTAAAGTAGTTTCTCGTTTCAATTCTAATTGTAATTAATTCACGGCTTTTATAAAAATACTGAAAAATCATATAATTAATTTAATGTAGAAGTAAAGTTTATAATGAATAAAATGTCGCAATACTTTGTGCCAAATTGACGATTCGTAATTTCCTTTTGATTTATAAAGCAGTCGTATTGTTTGTTGTACAAGATTTATAATTTTTCTTATTAGAAGAACGTGATCTAACATATCATAATGTGCCAAAGTGATTGAAAAATATTATTACAGGATTTACGGGATGAGGGTGATGAAAAGTTGTTAATCTTTTATTTAATAAAAAAAAAAAAAAAAATGCCATTGATATTGATATTCGTTCAATGCGTAAATAATATTTAAAAAAAAAAACTACAAAAAATTTATTACGAAAGGAAGGAATGCCAACGATACGTAACATATTTGTTGCAATTCGATATCAATTTGCATTACATAGATACAAAATACCCGTTTATTGATTATCCATAAGTAGTACAAAGATAACGAACAAATTACGCAATATTTTAAATAGAAAATCATCCATAATGCAGAAAAATTAAATAAGGTATATTATTTCCCTGAAGTAGCCTAATAATTAGTTAAAGCTCTTGCGAATATTGATCATTCAATTGTGATGATTTCTAAATTATTTAATTATTATAAATGAATGATTAATTTTGTGTGTGTGTTTTTTTTTCAACGTATGAAAATAAATGCATTGTAAATTGTCAATAAAAATAGCAACTTTTTCAAAATTTTAGTCTCTACAATCTTCCTAAACACTAAGCAATATCCAAATACCGGAAATTGTATATTTCACTCATTTGTTTTATAAATAATCCCATTGATAATAATATTTTTCAAATCAATAATATTTAATTTCAGTATTATATATACGTATCGCAATTGAATTTAGTAATTTTCAGATAATTTGTAACATTTAATTATAATTTAAATAATCTAAAAATTGTACAATTATTTCCTTTAACGTTATGTATATTAGAAAATTAATTATGATTCTTATTCATCTGGTTGTATGATTTTTGATCGATGGAAGTGTAAATAAAATATTATCTCTAATAATTGTAATTGTAAATGATGTAAATAAAATTATTATATTATATTATGAAAATTTAATTATTGCAGAATAATTCTTGTAAATAGACGATTGTTCCAGTAGAAAATAATGATATGAGATTCTTTCATACGTTCCATAAATGGCAATGCGATATAATTTTGTACAATTTATCTGAAGCATTTAAAACATATTTCATATTAAGTAACATGTTAACATTTTTTCATTCTTTTGATTATTTTATTTAGTTAAATATTGTCGACTTTCTTTTTATAACGTAGAGGGAAGCGTCCACAGTCAAACTTTTACAAGTGATAGACGAAATAAACATTACAGCACGTATAAATAGTTAAAAAATTTAGAAATTTGTTTTTACTAATTGTTCTTATTAATAATAATTGCAAACATAATTTTGATTCTTAAAAACCTTTAAATTTATAATGCCTATGTTTTTTTTCTCCATTTTGTGTCAAAATTTAATAAAACCTTGTTACACCCACTACCAACCACCCACCACCCAAGCCGACTTTCACCTTTCACCTTCATTATTCACTATTTTTTTTTTATTATATTTAATTTAGAGTACATTTTTAAAAATTAGAAAGTTAGTCTCTTAAACGATTTTAATTCATATTTGTCCTATTGTCATGAAAAGGACATTCTTATTGTCTCTTCTCTGAAAGATCTGCAATAAAATTAAAAATTAATTCCGTCTCATTTGGTTATGTAGTAACAAAGTTGTAATAACAAATTTTGCTATAATGTGAGAAGTGATTTTTTTTATTTCACGCACATTACCCACATATTGTTTTCTATTTGGATAGAATTGTAATCATCGTCGGGGCAAATGAACACAGACAAAGGACAAAACGAGCATTAATTTAGTCCTTTTGAATGGATTAAAATTCTTTCTACGATGTTTTTTACCTATACCATTGTGCAAGTTTATCATTTTATTTTTAATATTTCAATAATTCTCTTGGTCCTTTTAAATGCTTTTAATTGCTCAATCTCACCAATTACATGTGCTGGTGTTAATTTTCAAAAAGTGTAACGAATTATCAATATATGAACTTAAATCTAAAGGATATATATGTCGATTTCCTGTAACAATGTTCTATTCACAGAATATTCATGATATATGACAACCTTGAATCATCCTTTTTTTTTTTTTGTTTTGACATACAAAAGATGGTCGACAAATTAGTCAATTTAATTATAAATATACTTTTCTATCCCCGTCTAACCCGATGCCATCTGGTATATTTAGAACGCATAGTCAGCACAATGTGTCATTATCGCAATAAATTTAGGCCTCCAATTTCCAGTAGCATCGATTAGTTTTGCCATTGGGAATTCTACATTTATCTAAAGCCACGTTATCGCTGGCTGCTTTGTTTGAAAAATCGTTATTACACAAGTTTTGTACTCTCTCTCTCTCTCTCCCCTTATCCGCGGATCTTCAAAATTGCACGTTTTTATAAAAAGTCGATAAATCTCCAATGGCCCCGTTAAGTAGTCCCGAACTTACGCGTATTAAATTGTTAAATTATCTCATACGACCTGAAGATCGTAAATGTCGCCAAATAACATTGTACTCCAAGATTAATTGACTCCTTCACTTTCGCACATACGAGCAACTTCTCAAGCTTCTCAACGCTTCTCGACTCGATGCCCCGTATTCACGACTGGCATCGGTCCTCCAATAATACCCTCACTCTCTTTTTTCTCTCTTTCTTTCTCACCCGAAGGTCCGCTTATCGACGATTCCCATAGGCAAAGCGCATAGTCGACCGACGGTCTACCAACGATTAGTCAAAATCTCTTTAAACTCGTCGAAATTAAACGAGGTGCAAGCTCCGCGAGTTGCTCCCTCCCTTTCCCCCATCCCAAATTCCCTTTCCCCTCCCCACCCTCTTCAACTATCAGCACCGCCATTCCAATCCCAGCCCGTTCTATTCAAAGCTCTTTCAGCGGCGCGCGATCGATGCCCACGACGAGGTCAAAGGGAATCCGATCGGGGCCGGGAATCTCGATACGGACCCTCTATCGAATGAATGACCGAGCCAACGGCCAGGCCAACCTTTAGAAATCCACCGAAAAGAACCCTCGCAAAGAATTCTTACATTTTAAGAAAAGTGGGGGTGGGATACAGGGGGGTGGGGTGGGGTGGGTTGGGGTGTGGGGTGTGGGGTGTGGGGGGGGGCGACGAGGTTCGACGCCACGGTCGATGGGGGATGGGCTCGATGTTGAGAGCGAGGGTCCGGCGCCCGGTAAGGAAAAGAATCACTTGTAGTCTCGAAGTAAGTAGGCTAATGATAAATCAAAAGAGAAAGTCCCCCAAGTGGAAAATTGTCAAAGGAGGCATGTCGGCCTGTTGCAGAGATGGAGATGGAGGACTATCCGTTCGCCTACGAGGATTCGTACCCGTTCAGGTCGCGGGCGAGCGCCAACGCGATGCTGGGTCGATTCGGCGGTAGCCGCTTCCGGCGCAACACCCGGGGCGTGCACGACGAGTGTC